CTTGACATTTGTTATCTTTAAAAGAATCCACACCCCTTTCCAAGAACTTTGTATTGAGCATTTTTACATACAAATCTTAACTTTCCAGTGATCAATAGCCCCAATGAGGAGCTCATGTCTTTATTGGGTTTGTTGGATGTCTTATTAATGGAATTTTACTGTATTTAAGTTAAATAAGAGAAATCATAGAGATTTTGCTCAAGAAAGTCTAAGAGCATTTTTAAAATTGAGGATTTAATCTAGTGGTTCTGTCATATTCCAGTCCTTTTCAACTCAAGTTGACTGAGGTATTAAATTATCATCCATAAAATATTTAATTTTTTTTTAAACTGAAATTACTAAAATAAAACAGATGTAAAAAGATTTGTCATAGAGTGAGAAATAACAAAAAAATAGCAAGGTTGCAGCCGAAGTTTTCAACACGAACGTCGGACATTCACGTTTTTGCATTGAAAACTTTGGTCACAACCTCACTATTACTTTCATTTGTAAACTTAAATGGAAAATTGGTGGTGGGTTTTTTCCTGGTTAAAAGAAACTTTATTTCAATATTATAGTTGATTATACAAACTTCCAATTGAATTGGATAACTTAATGAGCACTTTGATTTGTGTGCAATGCAACTAAACAAAGCTGCTAAGGAACATTATAGTTTTGCTCGGATTACCACAATCAATTGTTGATGTCATTTGGTTTTGTCAATACATCAATACAAGAACTAAAAACATATATTTAATTAAGTATGTTGTTGGGAAAGACAAAAGCACTTTCATGGACTCTAGTTTTGTTTGTTTGTTATTCTGGCAACGAGGAGTTAAACCACACTTTTTTGCCAAGACATTGATAAGTTACATATGTTTATAGTTGTTTATTCATATCCATTATTTTATTGATTTGATAAGAATCCACAATTTCCAGACATTTATTTTTGCAATTAGAGATAACTGGGCATTCCAAGAGTGGAAGTTCAAATACTTCAGTTCAGTAAATCTGTGTTCAGCATAGAGGTTATTCAGAAATTATGTATAGTATAGGATTCATAACTCACATTTACTGAGATGTATTAATTGTCTTCCTTGAGAGCTGGGCCTTCAGTTTGTTGATAAAACTTAATTTACAATCCATTAGTCTTGTCTATTCTGTAACACTAATATTTAATTTGCTAAAAATATTTTGCAGATATTTTGGACAAATTTAACGTGTCGGCTTCATTGAACATCATAAAACAGTCTTCGTGATCTTTACCAAAATACAGCAGAGCATCATACAGAACAATGAACCTTTCCAGAATCCATAGCCTTACAAAATTCTTTGAACAGTCTGAGTAGCTTTTATTAGACTTCAGTTTTTTAATTTTGTCCAACATGGTATTAAACTTTGTAACTGCCAAATACTCTACCACGTAATGGTCATGTAAGGATTATCATTTAAGATTTTGAGCACTTGTCATTTCATCATTGTTGGTGTGTTAATCAACAGCAGTGAATTGTTACACTGCTGTCTTGTGTGCTGAATTGGGTGTAAGTCTTTATTTCAAAAGATTCATTTTGGATTTTTTATTCTTAAGCTTGATGTTTATTAAATGTATATACCATGATAATGAAGTAAATCATTAATTTTTCTAAAGTAAAATAAATTTTAGAAAGTATTTAAAAGAATTGGGCATTTTCAGCAGAATCAGAATAGAGAAATTTTGACATCATCCCATTACTACTAAAAAGATTTTTGCAAGAATGTCACATTACTTCTTGTGCCTGCAGATGGCTACTTTTTGTCAGCAAAAAAAAAATCAATAAAGCAGCCAAAAAGGCAAATTCTCTGACTTTCTGGGAATAAAGCATTTAAGGTGTTCAAACATTTTATCATAAGTTAACATGCTAATTATTATTATTAATTTTTTTTATAATATTTTTTCAATTAAAATATAATTTTGTTTATATATTAAACTATTTTGACAACACGGATATTTTTGTCAACTGCTAGCCTTAATTTGAAATTGCCAGTCAAGTTGACCCAATATCAATGCATGGCACTCTGTCACCCTGTTACCCCTATCTCCTTATCTCCTTATAACTCTAAAATAGGGACAGTTACTAACTACCAAGTGAAATCTTTCATTGCTCTGATTGCATGCAAAAAAAGTCTACCATGACCGACATCACCTCATGTATGGTGTCGCATACTCTTTGTCGACAGTATGAATTCGCATACTCTTTGTCAACTTTATATTTGTTGAAACAAATACAAAGTCTGTAGTAAGTATATAAGTATTTCGTTTAATGACTCAACATTTAATGACTCAAGTTTTTTTCATTTCTGAACAGTACTTTCTTAATTCTAATAAGCACCCTCCGGTAGCCGAGTGGCTAAAACTACCGAACTCTGGTAGTTAGTCGTGGGTTTGGGCATGGCAATGGACTGGCAATATATTAAGTTGTTCAGAAAGTAATTTTGTTTTTTTTTACCACTAGACGGATTAGTCGTATTTTTCCCGCCATTTTCATTCTAAATCGTATTATCATTATGTATTTTGACAGCTAGCATTTTAAGGCTTATTTGTAAAAAAATTTTGATTTTGTGCAATTGTTTATTTTTTGTGTCCCATCAAATATGGAAGATTGAAAGCAGTATTTTTGGCATATTTTGCTCTTTTATTACCGAAAAGGTAAGAATGCTGTTCAAGCGAGAAAAAAATTGCGTGACGTGTGTGGAGAAGGTGTATTGACAGAACGACAGTGCCAAAACTGGTTTACAAAATTTTGTTCTGTCAGTTTCAATATTGAAGATGCACCATGTTCTGGATGGCCAGTTGAAGCCAATGAAAACAAAATAAAAGGTACTGATTGAAGCAAACTGCCAAATAACAACACATGAAATCACTAAGAGATTAAATTTGTCAAATTGGACTGTTTGATTACTTGAAACAAATTGGTTTTGTTTCAAAGTTCTATGTGGGTTCCACGTGTTCTTAGAGAAATGCTCACTTTGGTGGGATTTTAAGGAAATTTTTTTTTTGGAGCTTTTACTAGACAATTTAACAATTGATTTGAAAGTGTATTGCCATCGAGTAAACAAATTGAGTAATATCATCAAACAGAAAGGTGGCCAGAATTGATCAACAAAACAGGTGTAGTGTTTTACCACGATAATGTCAAATTTCACACAAGTTTGGTAACTCGTCAGAAACTGTTAGAACTTAGATGATGGGACATGCTATCACACCAACCATAACCATACTTGCCAGATCGAGCACACTCAGATTATTACTTGTTCTGGTCTATACAATTTTTTTAAACTGTAAGACATTTACTTGAAATGACTTTGTCAAAAATCACTTGGATCAGTTTTTCATAAGCAATGATCAAAACTTTTATGAATGGAAATCATGCTACTACAAGAAACGATGACAACAAATATTTTACCGAAATGGTCAATAAATAATTTAACAAAATATTTATTGATTATAAAAATATTGTTTTTTTTCCACGGAAAAAAAAACAAAATTACTTTCTGAACAACCCAATAGAACCTTTCTAAATATAATTTGAAAGATTATAGTGATAACTTTGATATTTGAATATCCTAAAGGCTAATATATAACAAGTGTGACAGAACTGGAACTTCCTGAGCCATGAAGCCTCCAGTGATACAAGGATCTAAAACCCACTTCGTGTCTAGTCCAATAATGGTTAAGAACCCCTCAGCAACTACATCTACTATCTGTTGTTGCCTGATTTGAATCCCATAGAGCAGTTGTAGGGAAGTATTACATACAATTTGTGAAACAACCATTTAAGTAAGGAGTAAAAATATGGGCTTGTATCTTTTCAGATAACACTTGCAATCATCCTGGCAAGTGCATTACAAAGGAAAGAATTTAAGATCAAATGTTTGACTACAAAATAGTAAAAAAAAAAATTGTTTACAAGTAACAGGAGTGAACTTTTTATTGTTTACTTTTGCCTTTTTTCCTCTGTTTGAATTCAACGTATTTTTTTTTTAATATTGTACAAGTATAAAAATTTTCAGTGATTACATTGTACTTTGCATGTGCTGTATAATAAATTTAGTTGATTTATTTTCATTTTTAAGTGTTAACATACATTCAATTTTAACTGTATGTAATGTTTAATGTGACATTTTAACATCGTTTTCATTTTCAAATATAATATAGAAATAGTAACAAATTTCTATAAAAATATTCATATTTGTAAATAATATTTTTGTAATAATAGGATGCTATTGTTTATTATTTAAGATGATTTTCTTCTGTTTTGAGAACTAAAGTTTTCATAGCTGAAAATTTCTCTAAATAGCTATATACTTAGTCATTTGTTCTAGAAAGTAATGGAGTATGACTCTGAAATAGTTTAAAGCCAGTCATGTGAAAATTGTCTTAAAATAAGTATGTTTAGATGAACATAACTTGTTCAAGTAAATCAACTGTTAATACAATTTAATTTTTTTTTTTAATTTTTGAGCTTCAAAAAATTTTTAACAATTTTATTCAATTGATTCTGATGAATTAGTGTGTCTGCAAAGAAACAACAAAAAAATTTTATTCAACTTGATATTTGTATTAGTAAGATTTAATAGACATTTTTACGGAAAAAGTGAAATTTTTACTTTCTTAATTAATGTAATACAGTATTACATAATGAAATATTAATAAATTATTGGAATAGCAGTTCTATAAAAATGAACTGAACTATTATCAACTGAGCCAAAATGTTTTTATTTTCAGAATATTTTGTAGCTGTTAGGAAATAATTTCATTAGAATATCTGTTTAGTTTATGATTTTTTTTGAAGTTTTTATCCTAATTTTAGCAACCATAGTTAACTTTCATTTAATTTGAAATAAAATTTCTAATATTCTTTATTATTTTGATTCATTTACTAAATTTAAGCTGTTGTAATTAATGTTTGTATAATATAATGATTCAAATATTTTTATATTTACTATAAATATTTTTATGCTAATTAAAAATATTTTTTAAGGAATGCATCCTTAGTGGACTACTATCAGTAAGTGGGAAAAAAGTTTTACACATTGATAGAAACAAGTATTATGGAGGTGAAAGTGCTTCTATTACTCCACTTGAAGAATTATTTGCAAAATTCAATTTGCCGTCAGCACAGTTGGATGAATATGGACGCTCAAGAGATTGGAATATTGACCTTATTCCAAAGTTTCTCATGGCTAATGGTGAGACTAAAATAATAATTAAAATTTAAATAGGTATTAAATACATGTAAAATTTGAATAAGTAATACTAAATTTTTGTCTATTTAATTAGGTCAGTTAGTTAAATTGCTCATTCACACTGGTGTAACTCGTTACCTGGAATTTAAATCTGTTGAAGGAAGTTATGTTTATAAAGGTGGAAAAATTTTTAAAGTTCCTGCAGATGAAAAAGAAGCTTTAGTATCAAGTAAGATTTATTGTTATTATATATAATCATAAATTGCATTAATTTTAATAAATAATTTTTTAATGTTTAATAAATAAAAGGTTTTTCAATAGTTCGATCAGTGTTTAAAATTCTTAACAGTCAAACCTCATTAAGATGCCACAGTTTGTTCAGTCATGAATTTGACAGTTTAATGAGGTTGGTGGTGTATCAAAAATTTATAACATTGTGGTAGGAGAGAAATTTATTTCATATATTATATATATGAAATAAATAAGCTGAGCATATTGCAAACTGAATAAGGTAATACTGAGAGAATAGAGATATATATATATATATATATACAGTAATACCCTGACTTACGCGAACCCGGAGTTACGCGATTTTCAAATCTCGTTGATTCGTCTTTTGTTTGAGCGCCATGCAACCCTTGATTACTCACTCCCCCCACACTATTGTTCAGCTTACGTGTTCGGATGTGTTGCGTGGAATCCACACATAGCTACAATTTATTTTGTGTTATTTATTTCTGTGTTTGTTATATCTACGGAGACTTGAGAGACTCTACTATGTCATCCAAACGAAGTAGAACTAATTCTTCTGCATCAAACAAGAAAAGAAAAACTTTATCTTTGGAATGTAAAGTTAACATTGGGTATGTTCGTAAAGTCGAACGAGTTAAACGAGAATGACGTCATCGTTATTCCTATTTCGTTAGACTTTTCGAACGATTCGTTACTAACGCGTTTAACTCGTTTGACTTTACGAACGTACCCATTATTAAAGACTTCGATACAAAAATGAAAATTTGTGAATTGGCAAAGAAGTTTGATCTACCGGAATTGTCGGTCAGAACAATTATAAAAGGCAAAGAAAAAATTCTTGAAGCTGTGAAAAATGCTCAATCTTTAAATTCAAGCATCATTCGTAAATGTCATGGTATTATCACTGAGATGGAAACAATGTTAAAATTATGGTGTAATAATCAAGTAAATGTAAAAAATTGTAAAATAATATAGGCCTAATTTGTTATACGTATGTATTATCTAAGATTTTATTAAACTTTTTTTTTTCTAAATTGTTTTCTTTAGTTTCTGGCCTCAATTAAAAATTATTTGTATGTATTTATATGCGAAATTATATCTTGACTTATGCGAATTCAACTTATGCGGTTACCGCTCGGTCCCACCTATCGCGTAAGTTCGGGGTATTACTGTATATAATTTTTTTCCAGTTATGATTTCCAAAGATTAAAAAAAACTTTACAATCAGACTATTATGCTTTTTCCTTTTTTTGAAAAGACATATTTAATATACATCTTCAAAATACATAGGATATTTTAGAGGCAAGCCATACAAAAAGTGCTATAAACAAGAAATTATAGGACTACTTAGTGTACACTATTCAAGATGCAATTGCCTAAGCTTATTTTTGTTGCAGAGCAGCATGTTGACCAGCAAATGCTTACAAAATGTGCCATGTGATCTCACTTAGACATCACTCATTCACATGACTACCTCAAAATGCCATTCACCTCAGCCATGTGACATTGAAACAGTTTTGTTGTTATCACTTTTGCAATATTCTATTTAACATGTGAAAATCAGACACATGTCGTTTTAAAATTTGCCTTATTTCAAAAATGGAACATTGTAAATCATTATAGAATAAATGGGAGCTTTGTTCTTTTTAAATTGTAAAATTCAAATCTCTTGAAGGCTGATTAAGAAGACAAAAACATTAGAATAATAAATATTTACAGCATGGTAAATGGTAGTTTTATAGTTAAGTAGATGTTTCATAATTTTATTAATTTATTGTTGCAAAAAAATAAGATTAGTTATTTAATTAATTTCAAAAGCTCTGAAAATTATATTGAATACTAATTAAAACTCTAAATTGTTCATATATTACATGATTTTTTGTAAATTGTTAGCGATGAATGAAGTCTTTCATTCATCGCTAACAATGTCAGTGGAATTTGATTCAAAAAAATAGTTCTGATGGATATATGCACTGTTCTTGTTTCTCTTTTGTTTCATAAAACATTGGTGGCTTTCTTATAATTTTTCCTCATTTGTTAAATGATAAGCAGATTTGATTAAAATTGATAAGAGAATGACAATCATCAAAAAATAATTCCATTCAAAACAAATAAATTTATTTCAGAAAAATGATCTTATTTTTTATGCAAGCAATGAGTTGAATTATATTTAAAAGTGAATATCCAAAAATTACTGCACTTGATCACTTTTTAAAATACTATCTTTTAACATGACACGTTAATATATTTATTTTTTACTGATTTGAGCCTTATACTAGTAGACTTATTCAGCTATTATTATCTTTTCTTATGTTATTGGATAGTTTTTGATTAGAGTAATTTTTACTACAAAATACATTTAAGTCGTGTTTCCAGAAAACTTTACACTCTTGCTGTTTTCAGATTGACTGGAATGTTTGTAGATCTGTTGGATTTTAAGCAAAACTCAAAATTATCTTAAGTCAGTTGCAGAATATTATTTTCGTACAATTTTTGACCTGATTAATTAATAGAACAGAAAAATTGTGATAGCCATGGTTTCTCAAGTCATAAAGGGAAATTGTGATATGTTTTTTTTACATTTGTCAATTTTAAAAATGTTTATGGACCACATAAGACATATACAAACATTGCTTAAACCCGATATGTAANTAATAGTTAAAAAATAATGTATTTTTTTTAGTTATTAATTATAAGTTAATATTGGGTTATATTTAGAAGCTAGCAATATGAAGATGCTTTTGATCTTTCATTATGTCAGTTTGTGAATTTATTCATTATAACATTAATCTTTTGAATTGATCACAAATAGCAATGCTTCTTGAAAGTACTGTACATATATCTGTTGTACTTAGTTTTTTGAGTAATGGAAACTAAACTCTGAAAGTTCTATTATCTGGTAAAGTAGTTCTCTCTCAAAGTTGCTCTTTATGAATTGCATTGTAAATCCTGTAAGTACAAGCTGCACAATGCTTACCAGTCAACATCTGAAGAAAAAGAACCCATTAGGAGATCTTGAAAGAAGATTGAGCTTATTGTTAGCAATTATTATTTTATGTTTAATAATACAATCTCATCCTTAAGCCATAAAACACACAATGTGCATTCAATTAAGCATAAAGCAACCCCCTTTTTTTCATTTCTTTTACACTATATTAGTACATTTAATGTACTGTTTTATGTAACAGTATCACATTAAGACAATGATAATGAAACATCATAATAAGATAGTGTCATAGGTAATAGTTTTTTTAAAAAAAAATTAATGTTTTTGATATTTGCATATCTCTTAAACCCATGCATTTTACTGTTTTTACACTAAATACCTTTTATATTTAGTGTACAGTACATGAGGTTAGGAATTTGCAAATGAACAACCATTTTTCTAATTTGTTTACAGAATAGGGAATGGCTAATGGAAAACCTTTATCCGATAAAGAAAAGGGCAATTGTTTTTTTTTTTTATGGAAAACTGCTATTCTGCAGAACATACTGAACAATTAAACAAGTCTCATATAGTAGTTTATAATTTTTGTTGATTAGGAGAAAACTATATAAAGAAGCTAACCAGCAGGCCTAGGAAAGTTACATCAACAAAATGGATCATTGTGCATGAGGTGAAAGAAAAAATTCTACATCTTTACAATCTATTGCATGTCAAGACTAATGTCTTTTAAATCAGTCATTGGCTGAATTGTGGCATATTACCCTCATCTGGTATAAAAGTACAAGAAAAACTGCACCTGAAGCTGCTGGTTAGCCCACAACACGAAACATAGAACTGAAACAGTCTTGAATTGAAACACACAAAATTATTTGGAGTGATGAGAGAAAAAGTTGTCTTGATGAACCTGATGGATGGGCATGCTATTGGCATGATTTCTGCAAAGATGAACAGCTATTTGCAAAGCATCAATAAGGAGGCAGCAGTCTGATATTTTGGGTGATTTCAGCTAGTCTGGGGAAAACAGCCTTAGCATTTATCAAGCATCAAATGTACATGATGCACTACAAAACAGCAGAGGGTATGGGCAAAATGTGCATGCAATGTATGTAAATGATGCATCATATGACTTTGTTTGCTTATTCAACAAATTATGAGATTGAATAACAGAGACTGTAATTTAATGAAAATGATGTCAAAACACTGGATAAATATTATTAAATTAATTCATGCAGTGTATTTGATTAGTCAATTCTAGCACATAATGCAGGTTAGGTCATTCCAGTTACAAATATTCCATTTTAATGTATATATAAATGGGCATGTTTGTGCCTATATGTCACTCTGCAGCCAAAACTACACATCACAGATGAATGGTGTTTGTGTGTGGTAGTAGCCCAAATCTCCCATCGTACACTATGGTGGTTGCATCTCGATAGCTATAAGGGTGCAAGAGATATGGGGGTTTGAAAGTGGTAGACTTTGAAAATGTGTGACGCTTCAATGATAATGTTCCAGTTTTTTTTAGAAAGTTTCAGAACCTAGAGATGAAATTTGGTACAGTTAGGGTACATCATGAAAATGCACACTAAGAAGGGATTTTTCAAAATTCCCCAGCAGGGGGGAGAGCATTAAGGCTTAACCTGAATAACAGCTTTTATTGTACTATTTTAGATGCAATTTTTTTTGTTTTTAATTATGTTTAGTCTTCATTGAGTATTTGGGGGTATTAAATTGATAACATTTCAGATATTGTCATAAATATTTTTTATATATTTCGATTTTTTAACCAAATGTTTGAACCGTTTTAAATTTGAATTTTTTTTTGCATATTGGTTTGATTATAGAACGATTGTAAATGTTCCAGAAAATTTATTAAATTAAAAACAGTTTGTTTGATTCTCAGCAATTCTCATCATTCTCAGCGGTAGGTGTTATATAACAATTATTATAGTTGTTGAAATATTGAATGTAAATAGGATTTGTTTGCAAAATCTGCACGAGCGAAGCCGCAAGTAACAGCTAGTGTGTGTATATATGTATGTATGTATGTATATATTACAGTTACAATAAACTGCCAATGGAAACAATCTCAAATTTTCTTTTTCATTTTTATATTATTGTTTTCCTTGCTTGCAGGTATTTTCTTATTGATCTTATCAATGTACCATTTCAAAGGTGAAAGTATACTGTGGTGTGCAATATAGTGTTAAGCAAAAAGTTTTATTCTTGCAATTTTTGCAGAATACAAGCCAGTATGGTTATGAATTCTGTGAGATATTTGCAGTTACACTGGGAAAGTGACAACATACAAACAGTCAAATAGATAACAAATCTTGTAAATAGAGTACTTAAGCACATAAGTTATGAGAGAAGGTATTCACATATACCTGGCAACTTATAATGAAATTTATCATAACCTCTGATACAAGCTGTTTATGAATCTGTCCTAATAATATATATTTAGCCATCTTTCCTATCATTTTAAGTTAATTTGTTGGGAGTTGAGTAACTAGTTGTTGTTATCATCAATCATTTAATACCAAAAATTATGAAAGTTCAGAATTAATTTTTATTTAGATTACCTACCTATTAGTATTTTTTTTTTTCTTAGTAGTGTTGGATTTTGCAAATATATTGTCAAAATTTCATGTAATTTAAAACCTAAATACCTCATTTCTTTTCATTTATGCATTTTTTTTCTAGTATCACTTTGCTCTGTTTTTGTTCATTAATCCTTTAAATTTTTAGTAATTATTTATTGGTGAGACTGTTGTGCATGCATGGAAATATCTGTTCAAGAAATTCGAACAGAGTCAATTGCATGTGTGAAATTTGATATATACAAAGTTTAAAGCAGAACATCATTGTGACGGTCCAATTTGGAAGCCAGTTTAGTTCAATACCTGAAGTAGGCCTTGGTGAAGGCTGAAAACGTTCGGAAGTTTAGTTTATGTTCAGTTACTGGTTAAAAAAGATTTTGTTTGTGACTGTTTATTTCTCACTCCAGTATTTCTGAGAAGAGGACTGTTATTTTATTTAATAATTTATATTAATATTTGTGAAATAAATAATTTGAAAACTAATTTATAACATACTTTTTCTTTCTAGATCTCATGGGTATGTTTGAAAAAAGACGTTTCAGGAACTTCTTGATTTTTATACAAGAATTTAGCATGGAAGATCCAAAAACATGGAAGGATATTGACCCCAATAAAACTAATACTGCTCAAATGTATGAGAAGTTTGGATTGGATAAAGATACAGCTGACTTTACTGGTCATGCCTTAGCTTTGTATCGAGATGATGAGTAAGTAAGATTGTTGAAATTCAAGAGTTTTTAAACTATTCAGTAGGAAAACATATTTGATTTCTACTTTAGAGTTTGTCATCATCAAAACAAATGAAATAGAAATAAGAATTACGTCATTTAATATAAAACATATAAAATATAATATGAAATATCTAATCATTAGCAAATTGATTAAATTTTCAACTCTCAGCTGATCACTTAAATTCTTTCATGTTATCTTGTGACAGTGTATATGAACTTTTTACTCCAGAAATTTTAAAAAATAATGGGTAAACTAATTTTTACATGAGTTTTGTAGGATGGGATTAGTCAAGAAGCAAAATTTTTTTGTAAGTTCAAACTGGGTTACAGCGCAGTTTGTCTGAAATATCAACAGAGTGTTTAGTGATGGTATTGTTAATGAATGAACATACCATGGAGATGGTTTGAAAAATTCTGTTCTGTAAGAGAAGAATAAGTCTCACTAGAAAACCCCTATCTTTGTTGTTACTTTCTCCAGATACTGAGGGAAACTGATCTCTCTCTTTAATTTTCTGCAGAACTTAGAGTGCAAAAGCAATGGCAACCATCTCAAGAACATCAGAAAAGTTACTCAAGTGTGACTCTTTTTTTTTTAATCCAAAAATTTTTGGATTAAAAAAAAATTGCCAACTTTTTCATGGAGGAATGAAATTTCAGATTACACAACTTAAGATATTAATAACAGGAACTTTCTGTGTGAATAATAGTCTCAAGGATTAATTTACTTATTCAAATAATTATGACCATAAATAATTTTGGGTTAGTTTAAAGTATTTTTTTTTAACATTCCAATGTTAATCATCTGTATTTGGTTGGAATGTTGAAAAAGGATAGACTTTAAACTGACTCAAAATTATTTGCTTGGTCATAATTATTTGAATAAGGAACTTTCTAATTTAAAATAACTTGATATGGTCAATATTGATTAATACCTATGTGGTACAAAGGTTGCTATTTCTATAATTTGTTAAATTTTTGTTTAATTCTACATAATAACACAACAGTCATCAGAACACTGCATGTTGTTCTTGCTGGGTTGCATTCATCATCAGACACTCTTATGGTGCATTATTTCCGAATACCCAATATAGGGGGTGTGTATCTCCAAACACTCCAAAAATAAAGCCAAAAAACCCCATCAAAAACATGAGTGTAATGCACAAGATGTTTTCATAGTGAGAGATTACTTGGGCATACAACAGATGGCAACAAAGTATCTTTTTTCTTGTGCATGCAGTTCAAATTCCAGATCAATTTCTTGTTTGTATGTGTTAATTACATCTTCAATGTATTCTTATATTCAGGGCCAAGTTTATATATATATATATGTGATCATACTACTAAAAGTTAATATCTTGTGGTTCATTTTAAAAATGCACTCCATAGCAGGGAATTTAACATTGAATTTTAAACAAGTGAGGCAGCAACAACTTTTTCAGTAAGACAAAGATATAGAACATGGAAAGAACTAAATTTTAAAAAAGTATACAAAACTTAAACTCTACATCATAATTAGTGTTTTTTGCAAAAAATATTTTCTGAACATGTCATTTTTAACTATTAGCCCAGGATGCCCCTAGTGGGTGTTCTAGCAGCAGCAGTGTCATTCCGTGGTATAAATAAAAACTTAAACTCTACATCATAATTAGTGTTTTTTGCAAAAAATATTTTCTGAACATGTCATTTTTAACTATTAGCCTAGGGTGCCCCTAGTGGGTGTTCTAGCAGCAGCGGTGTCATACCGTGGTATAAATAATAAATTCATATTACAAATAAAAATAATAATATACTGAATTTCTCATGGTGNATGCCCCTAGTGGGTGTTCTAGCAGCAGCAGTGTCATTCCGTGGTATAAATAATAAATTATACTGTTATAAATAAAATATATACTATTAATTTAAATAATAGCTGAAAATCGTTGCTAGGGACACCCCCCTAGTGCACATTCTATGCATTCCATAACAGATATATAAGCCATTGATCCTGCTGTTTGTATAAGTAGATAATTCTGCAATAATAGAATTACTGAAGTTTTTAAAATATTATTTTGAATAAATATTAGTTTTAAATAAAATTATCAAACTTAATATTTAATATTAATTTTACTTTCTTGTTCAAATTATTTTTAGGTATTTAAATAGACCTTGTGTTGAGACAATTTTAAAAATTAAGCTGTACAGTGACTCTCTGGCACGATATGGAAAAAGCCCATATTTGTATCCACTTTATGGTTTGGGAGAACTGCCACAAGGATTTGCACGGTAAGATATGCATCAAATTGATCGTAGTTTTGAAAGCCTTAATTTTTTTATGTTTGTAAAGCTTTTATTATTACATTACTTCAAAAAGAAGTCACATTATAACATTAACAGGTTAACTTAGAATAATAAGCCATTATACAGTAAGTGATTGGTTAACCAATCACCCACTGTGGACTATTCTTGATTTTTGCTTTTATTCTTTATAAAGATCATTTTTATGCTTTTAGTAAAAAGTTTGATAATGTTTTGAGCTTAAGGTTTTATATTTATTTCAAATTGCTATCTTTTTGGATTTAGTATTATTTGCTCTGTCATTTTATTTATTTTTTTTATGGTTTAATGCCAGTATTTTGTTAATAGATGTAGGAATAGAATAAGTGATTGTGATTAAATTATTTTCACTACTTGTAATTTAGAACAGAAATAATAAAGAATAAATTTGGTCAAGATGGTAATAATCATTTTGTCCACATTTTATTAGTATGATTTAACTGTAATTTTGTAAATGTAATAGTTTTATAATAACCTGTGTGAAAGAGTATGTAGTGTTATGCACTGAATAAAATATTGTTCTGTTTGGTATAATTCTTGTTTTATCCTGAAATTATTTTTAAGATATACTTCGAAGTTTCAGTTCCAAATAAAATTTATTTTATGGTTACATTTTGATGATTGCTTTTTCATTGTAATTTGATTGTAATCCAAATAAGGAATCTGTAAATTTGTTTTTAATGATATGGCAAAATCTGCAATATTTTTGATATTAAAAGCTTGGATGATAAATAACTTTTGAATTTAAAGCACAAAAATCACTAAAAACTTCAAAGCCTTTATTATAGCTGTCCTTCACATACATCAGGAACCATAGTCATGTAGCAAAGTTGACTTTATTATGACTGGGAGGACTTCAGAAACAATTTTTGCATGCCAAGGTGAGACCCTCTGAAGATACAACAAACCACATAGCAAAAATTTATGATGTGAAAAATTATAATGAAGACACTGAATTTTAGTTGGTTTTTTTTTTTTTTTATTACTTATAAAAATATGAATTTTTGATTTTTTAAATTGAAGCTTGTAGCTATAAATTTGCCCTTTGTCAAATGCATGTTTATTAATGTATTAATCTGAAGTTTTTATGTAAAAACAGTTATACGGTATAATTGGCAGATCAATTTTTAATTTGATAGTAGTGGACGTTCAGCTGAAACTTTACAATCCTGAAATAATTATTTTCAGAATTATTTTATCTTTAAAATGAAAATTTAGCATACAAGTACAGTAGAGTGTCAGTTATCTGAATTAATTGGGGACTGGGATTGTTCGGAAAAGCAATTTTTCGGATAACCGATTATGTACAAAAAAATACATTATTAATATAGTATATTAGTATATCCCAATAATAGAATATTAATATATCCCATGTTAAATTTTTCTCCATTGCGTGTCACTTCGTGTTGAATTTTCGTCGATCTTAAGCCTAACGAAAATTTTTATAATAATAATTTTGGCTGTTGTATTGTTAAAAATTATTTCTTTATTTTGTACAAACAAAATAAATATATTGAAAAATAGTTTTTAAAAATTTATACTCTAGAAGTTAATCTAGTATCAAAAACGTTCGATTCAGCACGGCAGTCTGACTGGTATGCTTTTGGTTAACCAATGTTTTGGTTGATCGGCATTCAGATAATCAACGCTCGACTGTATTGCCAATGTTACCATAGAATATGTTTTTATTTAAATATACTAATGCACATTTTAATTTGGTTTTGCTTTTTATAATTTTTGACTAAAAGTCTTTAGGCATCACTTAGTGCATGCCTATTTCACATAATCTGTAAATGTTAGTACTTTCCTGAGAAGTTTATATCTAATCCTTGTAATAAAAGTAAATGTTAATAATCCAAAAATGCATCAGATTTGTTTTAATAATTTATTTTGATTATTTAAACAATTGATATTCATTGGTTTTTTTTAATACTTTACATCCACATATTAAATCAATACAATGCAGTTTTTAATGGATACAACTGAAAAACAACTTTATTTTAATATACTAGTTATGTAATCATATCAAATAAGAGAAATTTTGTAACATTTGTTTTATTTGTGACATTGTTCTATTTGGATGAGGCCTTTGTAGAAACACTTGTATTCATATTGGCAGTGTCATTGAATTTCATCTTATTTTCTCTCAATATATTGGAAAATATTTTTTTTTTATTTGTGTACTTTCTTACAAATTTATTCCATTGTATTTTATAGAATTTGCAGAAGCTCACAAATTTCTTTGAAATGACTATAAAAAATTATCTTAATACTTAAACTTCTTTGCATGATTTTACTTATATATATATTGATATAAAAAAATCAATTTCAGAATTCAACTATGTAGTATCAGTTGACATAGTAATAATTCAGCATTGATTTCTTTTTGTAGTTAAAACAGATTATACATTTGTTATTTTTCTGACTCCTTTAAATAATTTAGTCGTACTGTTGATGACTTTGGTTAAGATGGCTGTTTAAATTCCTTAACTCTATCTATCTATAATTGTATTATTATAGCTTTTAATTTTTGAAAAAAAATCAATGTAATGCAAAATCATTAGAGTTCTGTATCTTTCCAACATGTTTCAGTATTTTAAATTTGTTTTTTAGAGTTTTTTTTAGTTTAAAGTTCTATATTTGAGCAATATAGATTGCTCAAATATAGAACTTAAACAATTATTTTTTCTCCTAAGAAATTCTTGATAAACTTTTTCAGAATCTTTACATAAAGAAATTTTAATTTGTTTCAATGAAATTTTTATTTCAATAAAAGCATTTCTTCTTATCTGTAGAAATAGTGATATTTTACAAAATACTTAAATTCATATTCCATATTATTAACTACATATTAAGTATGTTTAAATAGAAAAATAGTAGAAGTTTTAAAACTGGTGATAAAGGCATGTTGCAGTTTTTTAAAGTTTTTATTTATTTATTTTTTTGCATAAAAGATAAAATGCTTGAATTCATTGCCTTTTTCATTACATCTTTTAAATATTTAATAATGAAAAGTTTTTAATGTAAATGCAATTTACTGTAACTTCTTAGATTGAGTGCTATTTATGGTGGTACGTACATGTTGGATAAACCTATTGATGAAATTGTCCTGGAGGATGGTAAAGTAGTTGGTGTACGTTCTGGAAAAGAGATTGCAAAATGCAAACAAGTATATTGTGACCCATCCTATGTTCCTGATCGTTCAGAAAAAGTAGGACAAGTACGTNATTATGAGTATGATGAAATTGAAATTTCCATGTGATCTGATCGAAAGGCCCATAGGTTCCAGTCTCTATTTTCTTTGTTTTATTCACACTGTGTATTTGTTTGTTAGGGTATGTCATTCATTCTTAAACAGTTATGCAATTTAATAAATATGATCTCTACATTGGAAACCTCTCTATTAATAACTACAATTTTATGGTTAGTCAGATCAGAGTTTTAAAATCTTTTCGTTACTAAAATCATGGATGAAAAATACAACGCTATTGTTTTAGGTACTGGTCTTAAGGAATGCATCCTTAGTGGACTACTATCAGTAAGTGGGAAAAAAGTTTTACACATTGATAGAAACAAGTATTATGGAGGTGAGGGTGTTTCTATTACTCCACTTGAAGAATTATTTGCAAAATTCAATTTGCCATCAGCACAGTTGGATGAATATGGACGCTCAAGAGATTGGAATATTGACCTTATTCCAAAGTTTCTCATGGCTAATGGTCAGTTAATTAAATTGCTCATTCACACTGGTGTAACTCGTTACCTGGAATTTAAATCTGTTCAAGGAAGTTATGTTTATAAAGGTGGAAAAATTTTTAAAGTTCCTGCAGATGAAAAAGAAGCTTTAGTATCAAATCTCATGGGTATGTTTGAAAAAAGACATTTCAGGAACTTCTTGATTTTTATACAAGAATTTAGCATGGAAGATCCAAAAACATGGAAGGATATTGACCCAATAAAACTAATACTGCTCAAATGTATGAGAAGTTTGGATTGGATAAAGATACAGCCGACTTTACTGGTCATGCCTTAGCTTTGTATCGAGATGATGAGTATTTAAATAAACCTTGTGTTGAGACAATTTTAAAAATTAAGCTGTACAGTGACTCTCTGGCACGATATGGAAAAACCCCATATTTGTATCCACTTTATGGTTTGGGAGAACTGCCACAAGGATTTGCACAATTGAGTGCTATTTATGGTGGTACGTACATGTTGGATAAACCTATTGATGAAATTGTCCTGGAGGATGGTAAAGTAGTTGGTGTACGTTCTGGAAAAGAGATTGCAAAATGCAAACAAGTATATTGTGACCCATCCTATGTTCCTGATCGTTCAGAAAAAGTAGGACACGTTCGTTGTATTTGTTTGATGAATCATCCTATTCCAAATACTCAGGATGCATTATCTTGTCAAATCATCATTCCACAGAAACAAGTAGGCCGAAAATCAGATATCTATGTTTCATTAGTATCTTACACTCATCAAGTTGCAGCTAAAGGTTGGTGTGTAGCTATGGTTAGTACTACAGTGGAAACCAATAATCCGGAGAATGAGATTAAGCCTGGACTTGATGTATTGGGACCAATCAGACAAAAATTTATATGGGTGAGTGATTTTTATAGACCATGATGGCAGATAGATGATGGCAGAGAAAGCCAGATATTTATCTCTGAATCTTACGATGCCACTACTCATTTTGAGACTACCTGTCTTGATGTATTGGATATCTTCCATAGAGGTACAGGAGAAGATTTTGATTTCTCTAAAGTCAAGTATAACTTGGGAGACAAACAAGATTAGAAATTTCAAATAGCTCTTTCATGTCCCATTTTGTCATTAGAGATATCATCTACCAAAGTGTGTTTTTGGATTACAGAGACAAATTTACATTTGTAATATAATATACAGCAAGCCGTTTATATATATTAGAGATATCCTTTCTATACAGTTCTCTTTAAACTGCTGTGATGATGAAGTTTCAGGAGAGTTTCCAGAAATCAGCTTTATATGTTTTATTTTTTATTTTTAATTGTCTTTTGAAAAATTGGTGTATGTATACATATCTTGAATGAAAAGGGAGCAAATTGTCCAATAGAGAATATTGTCCTAGGCTGTAAAATCTTGTCATTTCACACTGCATTTGTTTCAACAGTTAAATTGTAAAAATAGTAATATGTGACCCTATAAATGTTACAATAACCCATCTGATTTTTGCAATGGTTAATGTAATCTTAAAAGGTTGACATATGCTGCATCATATTAAGCCTGTGTATAACAGTTAAATGTAGTGATATAAAGCTCCGCACTGCATCACAACAACTAGCAACCAATTAGATGCCGTGAAAATATGGGAAATGTATTGTATTCAGTTTTCAAAGTCTATTGGCTGAAATTAACATATTTAACAGAATGGGTTTTTAGTAAGAATGCTTATTATTTTATTGCAACTTTGAGAAATGGACATTTGAATGTGGCTTTTACCTTAAAATTGCCACAATGGAACAACAAAATTAAATTGTATAACTACAATTTTATTTCACTCTACTTTCTATTTGCTTATCATTTGAACTAACTAAAATATGCTCTTTAACAATGCTGAACTTAGATTGAGAATAAAGCAAACTGTATTTCAATGTTAAAGTTGTTTACTTGCAAAGATTTTTTAATTACAATTTGATATTTCAATATGTCTTCAGGTTGAGCATATACCATTCAAATTACAATTTTTAAAAAAGTATATTAACAGATTCCAAATGTGCAATTTGGTTTATTCTTAATCTAAGTTTGGTGTTGTTAAAAAGCATAGTTTTATTTACTACAAAAACTGCAAAATGGTTCTCACTTTTAAAGTCAAAGACGAAGTGACTCATCAAGCATATCCAGCTGCAATTTCTATTAAGTTTCCATCAGCACAATTTAATGCCTAAATGGATCTCCATTAAATACATCTCCTTTTCACCATGTATCAGACTGACTCTTCTGAAATTAGAATAAAAATTATTGGCTAAGCTCATCACTGAAAAATGTTATCTAGACACCAACAAGAACCATGGGGGCAAGAAAAAAGCATATCTTCTGGTAAGGTGGTAGGTGAAAATAGTTTGAGTTTAATTCTGTGATGTATTTGTATGTAATTTGTGGATATTACAGAATGTCAAAAGAAGTGCTTTTTTAAAATTTTACCTGAATTTAAAGGTTTCAATAGTCTATAAATTTCCTCTTCTAATGGTTGATGTGTATATAAAGGGAACTTGATCCCCTCATTGCATCTAACTAGAAAAGTGTCTTGAACAATATATACAACCAGAAAATTTACATTTGAGTATCATTTTTCTATAATTAGAAAAAAGAGAAACATTACACTTTTAAAATAAATTATGGCTCTATATAAAAAAGTTTTCTGATAATAATATATCAATATATAAATATTAAACTCATATCTTAAGTGTAATATTAAAAAATCGTAATATCTTTTATTATAAATAACATAATAAATCATACACAATAGTATCTACCAATAGAGAGAATTTCTCTGTTACAAGGGCAAATTACATAATTAAGGGTAATACTCAACATAGATTTTTAATATAGAAAAAATAAATATATAACTATACTATAAATATCAGTAGCATACTTATAAATAAATTGATGTTTCTATTTTAAGAAAAATTATCATAAATCCATGGTAATCATAATTATTATACAACAAGTAAGAATGTCTTAACATTTAGGACTTTAAATGATTAATTATTATTTATTAATATGGAATTTTTTAAAGAATTTTAACAAAATAATTATGTATTTTGTATATGTTCTTTTTATTAAGATTATTTAGGTTTATTTTAAAGTCAAGTAATGATTTATTATCACATATTTTAAGTATACAATAATAGTCTCGAAATTCATCAAGTGCTTGACAATTATAAATTAAGTGATATAATGAGAAGTTTACTGAGTCACAAAGAAAGCATTGAGAAGTTGTAAAGTCAATATAGGTATTTTTTTTATAAAAAGAGAGTATTTATTTAATTGAAGTTGTATTATTAAACGTTTTATATTTAAATTCATTGGTTGTAGCATATAAGATTGAGAAGGAAACTGTAACAAGTTGATATACCAAGGATGATAGGTGCTTTNAAGTCAATATAGGTATTTTTTTTATAAAAAGAGAGTATTTATTTAATTGAAGTTGTATTATTAAACGTTTTATATTTAAATTCATTGGTTGTAGCATATAAGATTGAGAAGGAAACTGTAACAAGTTGATATACCAAGGATGATAGGTGCTTTGATTTAATGAATTTTGATCTTTGTTTATAGCTTGAGATATTGCCGAATCTATTAAGCATGTGTATCCAAATTGCCAATCACAAATGTTATTCCCAAACAATAACTCTGATACACCAAATGTATTTAAGATTTTAGCAATTTATAGTGCCATAGATGTTTAAATCTTTGATTTTTACTTTGATTGACATTTTCTTGATATTTTCAGATTGCATTATCGTTCTCATTCTAAAACAATCATAATCAAACCACACTTCTTATTTTTGTTTTGATGATTTCTTTCATTTTTATTAATGTAAATGTAGTCATTTAATATAGTTATCATTAGTTTATATATCATTTCACTATTAGTGATTGTTATTTCTGGTATGACAAGAAAACAGTTGTTGATCTCTATCCAGTATTTTGCATTTTTATATTTTATTTTTGGTGTTTTTAAATTGGTTGTTGGTTTTCCTTAATGGAGATAGTAGGAATTTAGTTAATGTGGGAAAATAATCAGAAGCATCCAATGAAGCTGTCATATAATCCACACAACATTCTAAGAGCAGATCAGAACATATTGTTAAATCTATTGTAGATTTACCAGAATTGGTTAAACAGGTATATTCTGTCGGAAGATCAGAGTTAATATGTCCATTCAGTATAAATAATTTATATTCTATAATTAAATCTATTAGTTTTTTCCCCATATTATTAACTTTGTTAATCTGTTTATCCTTGGATTTTTGGTTATAAAAAATTAGATGATTGGAGCCTTCATTTTTGGAATCCATCAATTCACCAATTATAGAATGAAAGTCACCTAGTACTATAATATAAGGGATTATATAACACCATGAATCAATAATTTTGAAGATTTCATTAAGAGTATTCATATCTCCAAAAGGCACATAAATCAGCATTAGCATCAGTAGATCATTGTTTTTATTTACTAATGTATTTTTATTGGTTGAGATAAGGAGAAGTATATAATTAGTAGCTTTTTTAACTTGAATTACTTTAAAATAGTTTTTTTTCTAGGAGTATGCATAATCCACCACTTGAGCAACCTGGTCCTACTAGTTTATTTGCAAGGACTAATTCCATTATGAACTTATTGGAGAAATTAGTTGTATAAAAGTTTTCTGATGTAATCCAAGTTTCCATAATAACAAAAATATTCAGTTTATATTTGACATGCAGGGAATTAATAAATGAAGTTTTGTATTTAAGTCTCTGATAATTCCAATTTATGATTGGAAATAAGTAGTTATTCTTGAGGTTTAAAGGATGCTGTGTTTGACCCTGGTTCTTAGTGTATCAGCTAATCAAATTTGTTGAATTGGGGAAAAGTAAAAAAGTATCTGCATAAACCAATCTTTTCATGTTGATGATGTATGTAATTTTTCCGTTTCCTGTTATTATAATGTCATTGTGTAATTTAGCTCGTGGATTTTGTTTTTTTATATCATATAACATTGAAAGTAAATTTTTGGTAAGATCTGGTGACATTTGAATGTTTCCCCAATCTTCAAGTTGATTCTGCTGTTTTTCTTAATATATGCAAAAAAAAACTTGATTTCGAAGTTGATTATTATTAAAGGTTATTCTTATTGTTAATTTTGGTATTTTTGTTAATTGAATTACTTCCAAAATATCATATGGAACTATATTTTGAATATTTAACAAATCACTAATAAAATTATAGATTTCTGCCTTTGAGATAACTCTTGAATTAGGATACTTATATAATATAATGCTATTATGATTATGATCATTAAATAGAGTCCATTTTAAATTGCATAAGATCTTTCTCAATCTGCAAGGTGTCAATCTGAGGGCGTAAATTAGTCATTTGCTCTTCCATTTTTGTTTGTTACTCTTTACTTTCCCACAAATATTCACAAATTAAATCCAATTCATCCTTAATATAAGTAATTTGACTAAAAAGTTTGTCATTTGATGTTTTTATAAGATTGAATATTTTATTCCATAACATTGTAGAAGAAGTGTTTAGTAGGTTATCTGGGTTATGTAGTAGAGTATCAAAAATAGTAGGCTCACCTGAAAAATCTTGAATGTTTTATTGAATTAAATTTCCATTGTTGTTTTCATTCTCCTCAAGAGTATCTTGTAGGTAATTATCCAATTGTAAACTAAAGTCTGTAATAAGCTTGGAGCCTGTTGTGAGGAAGTCAGTACGTTTACTCACTGGTTTGCTTCGACTAAACAATTCTATAATCACAACAGTAAAATTATACAACTTTCTGACAATATAATTATATAAACATATAAATAAATTTTTATATACATATGCTTACATAGTAAGATTAATTAATAAAATGTTTAATTAGCACTAATTTTCAATAAAAGTTATTTATTTTATACATATTGTTTATTGCTAGGTTACCTAGCCTAGCTCTGTAATTTAGGTCTTGGCTTGTATTAATTATTACAATGATTTGATATTTTTTACAATATTTTTCTAATGCAGCACAGTCCTTAAAAAGATGAAGTAATGAAAAGTTCCTGGATTTACACCAATAACAATATTTTTTAGAAAAATCTGAGAATTCATCTCTCATGGTTTTGTTTGCTAAAATATAATAAAAATATCAAAAATGTTATATGTCTACTATAACTTCATTACAGTAATAAAAATGATTATAAACGTTAACACTTTACAATCAGTATGTTTTTGATTCAGAAGTAATACTTTTTATATATATTTTGTCTTTTATATATAAATTTTGTCAGGATAAAAATACAAAATATAACATAGTTAATATATTTTTTCTGATCAATTCTATAAAATAATACTTCATTAAAGATTATATATGATTATTAACTTGTATAACTTGTACTCTGAATAAGCTTACACATACGAGAGTCGTCACAGAAATACCCGACCTGACATATAGATGGTGGTACTTGTTTGAAAAAAACGACTGTGTTTGAAAGTATCAACCTTATAAAGCCTAAGTTTGAAGTTTGAAGACACTATGTTGTTTAGTATTTTTTTGGCAGCCATCAATAGTGAACAATCTCAGTGAATTTGTAAACATGGAAAAAATTGGTCATTGTTATGTGATACAATACTTTCATTTAAAAGGTTTCAGTCCAACTAATATTAAAGCTGAGCTAGATTAGAATCTAGCTCAGCTTTAATATTAAGCTTTAATATCTACTCTGGGGGAGTCTGCTCCCTCGTTTACAACAATAAAATATTGGCAGAGTTTAAACGAGGCCGTATGAGCTGCCAAGACGAACATTTCAGTGGTTGACCAAGTGAGGTGACCATGCCAGAAATGGTAAAAAAAATCCACAAAATGGTATTGGATGACCATCAACTCAAAGTGCAAGAGCTAGCAGACATGGTAGACATTTCAAAAAGTGTTGTACCATTTTGACTGAAAATTTGGACATGAGAAAGCTGTGCGCAAGATGGGTGACAAGTTTGCTCACGAGACAAAAACAGCGTCGTGAGGATGTTTCAATTGAGTGTTTGGCAATGTTTCGCAGCAACAAAGCCGAGTTTTTGCGTCAGTTCATATCCATGGATGAAACATGGGTCCATCATTTCACACCTGAGACGAAATAACAGTCGAAACAATGAACTGAAAGGGGAAAATCAGCTCCAAAGAAGGTGAAAACAGTTCCATCTGATGGCGAAGTCATGGCATCAGTTTTTTGGGATGCACGTGGGATAATTATCATTGATTATTTTCAAAAAAGAAAAAACAATAAACGGCGAGTATCATGCGAACTTATTGTAGCGCTTGAGTGAGGAAATCAAGAAAAACGGCCACATTTGGCAAAAAAAAAGAAAGTGTTGTTTCATCAAGACAACGCACCAGTTCACACATCCATTATTGCGATAGCCAAAATCAATGAGTTAAAGTTCAAATTGCTTCTTCATGCACCTTATTCACCAGATTTAGCTCCCTTGGATTATTTTCTCTTTCCAAACTTGAAAAATGGCTTGGTGGTAAAAGATTTGCCAACAATGAAGAGATGGAGTTTGCGGTTGATGGTTATTTTGAGAAACTCGACAGTTCTCACTATAAACAGGGGATCAAAGCTATTTAACATCACTGGGAAAAGTCTATCGAGCTAAAAGGTGATTATGTTGAAAAATAAAGATATGTTTTCCCAAATTTTATGTCTCTTCTTTGTTAGGTCAAGTACTTCTGGGACTACCCTCATATTTACATCTAATTATTGTAATTATTCTAGGAGCTAATTNAAGGTAATAATTTTTCTATAATTCCAGCTTCAAACAAGCGAGTTACTCTAAAAAAATGTACTGTTCTTAAGTAATGATACATATAGATTGTATTATATAAATAAATATATAATTTGTCTTACATATTGGTTATATTCTTTTTGAATGGAAAATTTTTTCTAATTAAGAAGGCGATCTGCAAGGTACGAAGATCATCTTTTGAAATGACATATTTATGCATTTTTTCTTTACTGATTAACTGGACAATCACAAATTTGGGCATTATATATGCAAATTTTTCTTTATTCAATTTCACAATGGCTTTCGGCACAGTCATTAAATTGTTATTTTCTACTATATTTTGCTTTATAGTTCTGATATTTTCAGACTTCGACAGCTGGAAATAATAATTACATCGTCATTTGCAAAGCCATTATAAAGTGTAAAAGTTCAAAACACTTACCGAGATTTCTTTCCAAGTAGAAAGTCCTTCGTATGTTCCGCATGAGTACTTACCATTACGTACAAAATCGGCAAGTTCCTGAAAATCTCTTGGAAAGGATTCAGTTAAAGGACACGTCATGAATGACATTAATGCCCCACTGTAACCACATACCAAAACAACAATCGATAACTACCACGTGTTTATCGTGAATCTGGATGCAAACCTTTTCACCTTTTCTACGTTTAGTCCTAAATGGCATTAAATATATATATATATATAGTTTTCAAACCTTTCGTTTCACCATAAATAAATATTTTTACCTTGCCCCAAAAATGTGCAAAATAAATTTCAAAAAATTCGATAACGTGTCCAACGTTCTCGAGTTAGCACTACAATGAACTCTTTTCTAAGAACTGTATGTAGGGCCAGATAAAATATTAATACACTCAGAAATACAGCGATCCATATCTATTTTATTAACGATATAATTACACCTTTAGGTAAGTAAGATTCGAGATATTTTATAGTTAATTACTTCTAAGGAAAATGGCCTAGTTAGAGAATTCCAATTAAAATCCTTATTTGGTGCTTTGATAATAAAAACTTCTGGAAAGGTTGCAAAGACAGACGAAAAGTCCATCGCGCGGAAACGATCGTAGTTAACTTTTACACGAGAAAAAAAACACATCTGCGTTCTAAAATTACAAACATAAATATTAAAGAATAAATTGTTTTCAATTTATATCTTAATTTTAATATATCAAACAATATTTTCTCTATTGATAAAGTTGTTGTTCACTGCGAAATTTTGATCGGTTTTCTGTTAAAGTTTCTTATTATTGTACGTATAAGAGGGTATTGAAATATAAATGGAACGATGAATTTATAAGAATATAATATACATTTTGTACATAACCTCATGTTATATGTAGATTTTGTATTTTTCAGTCTATAAAATGAGTTAATACTTTAACAATAGATGTTTAATTTATTACGATAATTATCAGTTACATACTTTACTAAAAAAATAAAGCAGTTAATTTGTAATTTGATACATTACA